CAAACGGTCTGGACTATCAAAATACAACACTTTCAACGGCACACATCAACGGCAATGGCACGTGGGGCATTCGCAGCCCGCGAGTCCTTATTCTAAGGTTAACCATGCCCTCGACCTTAAGAAGAAGTAAACCAACTTTTCCGGCTAATGCGAGGCATCAACCTTTTTTTAGTGACTTTCTTTCTTTTCATTGCGCCATCGCCTCATCACTAGACATACTGGACTAGTCTGCTTCTGGCTCACCTTCACGTGCACCAACGCATCCCAATTTACACCACCATCCTATCGATCTCTTCAACATCCATTCACACGACCTGCGGCGCATCTGCCACGGGTTCAGGTTGTGTGTGCGACCGGAAATCACAACGAGAAATACCCCTGGCTTGAGGGCTGGCTCCCCCACACCCGATTCCCCTTCAGGGCGCTCGCCCCTCTCCGGGGTTACCCTACTGAGCGGTTGTACAGCTCGGACAGTCAAAGGTTACTGAAAAAACGCCTTGAGCGTAAGAGTCAGTCCGGATTTGTGAGACTGGCTTATATCAAACAACATCAAACGAAAAACATCACGGGGTTGTTTGGGGACCATACGGGACCATACCCGGTGCCTTATTTGGACACCAGATAAGATAGGGCCAGACACCATGACGTCGATTGTAAGTGAGCTTTGTTACTTGTGACAGATTTCCCCCGAGCGCAAATCCCCAAATCCTTAGCCCCGGGCCCCTTTGTTACGAGTGAGTGGCACGTTCAGCCTGATGGCTGTTTCAAACCGTCCACCACTTCAACACCTCTCCAGCTTCACAACCCAACCACAAGCCCAATCTTACGTCCTATCACGACACTACACATTCAAACTCATACCCTCACCCTCCACCGAGTACCTTCCCTTAATGCTCACCGCTTTGCCCGGTGCTCACCCTCCTTGTTTTTTTTGTTCCTTTTCTGTCCTATCCCATCTCTTCCTGATCCTGCTCACTTCACCGGGACTGTCTTGTGTTCCCCCACGTTGCTGAACCGACAGGTTGGCGCGCTTGTAATTTGAGGTCGCAACGCTTGTGCTTCCTTCCTCTTGTGCTTGCCTGGTCTCGTCTAAGCAAGTGTGGCCGGGCATGTGGATTGGCTTCCTTTGCGGCTAGTCGAGGTAGAGGTAGTACTGGAAGTTGAGCAAGTCAGAAAGCAGGTCTCCAGGCCGGGTGTACAAGTACATGATGATGATGCTTGCCGTCTCATCCTGAATTTCGCGGCGCAGAAAACGCTTCTTTTATCTCTCTCTGTCTCCTAGCAACGGGAATCCCCTTCCGGCCTTTTTACACAAGACCGGGACACACCCATGCCAATCACCCCCATCCATCCCTTGATAATCCCTAGGGACGACACCACCCTCACCATCACGCCTTCTACCACTACCATGTTCCTACCATACCATCAGTGTCGTCTCCTCTATCGCTCATGATTATATATGCGCATTAGCTCTTCGTCACTTACAAGACAATGTTGCCTTGATTCTGTTTGGGGGAATGGATCTCGAGTCTGAGACTTGGACCGCAAGTCCTTTGTTCGATCCCGTTGATCTCGACAGGATGCTAACGCAAAACCCTCGTCTCCAGCTATGTCTGGCGCATTATTGCGACCTTCACGGGCCTACCCCCTTGATGGTCACTGAAGGACTCCCTGTTCCATGCAGCACATGTTATGAGGAGGGCCAGCAACACGACCACAGCCATGGTACCGACCAGCCGGCTCCGAGTGCCACCGCAGCTAATGCCTCGGCCCATGCAGTGGCCGCCGCCGCCGAAGCGCTACGCCGAATGGACCTCGGCGGCGGTGGTGCTATGAGGAGCGCTTCCGCGCCTGTATCCGAGGAGCAAGCTCAGGAATATCGCGCATCTCTTCGCCGGGTCTCCCAGACTGTTGGCACTTCTTCGGCCGTTGAAACTCCTCCACGTAGTCCGCAGATTCCATCCGGGGCCCCATTATCACTACAGGAAAAGCGACGCAGCGACTCGGGATTCCGCAAGACCTATGACGACTACGTCACTCGCCGAGCCGGCCCGTGCGATAACTGCGCCTTGACGCTACCCAAACGACAGGAGAGCAGCAAGGACGCAAATCCGGAACCGAAACCGGAGCAGGGACCAACATTACGGACACGTGCTCCCTTCGCCCGCGTGTTCTCCGGAGGAATGGACGAACCATCGCCGCCAGTTTCACAAACCTCCTCGTCGATCCCATCCGAGGATGAGTCGACGACCAAGTCTCGGCCCTCACATCGACGTGCCGGGACCACGGCCTCCTTGGCATCACGTTCTAGCAGCAGCTCCGCCCAAGGTGTTACGGCACATACGCATTATCTTGACTACACCTCAACGCACGAGCCCGTCGTCGCAAGCTCGTTCTCCATTGTTCGCGCATCCTGTCTACGGACGCTTTCACTGGAAACTCTTCCTCGCCCTCCAGCTACTGGATATCCTTCCTCAGGTGGCAACCCGGCGATTACGCCGAGCGCCTCACCCAGCACACCAGCCTTCGTCACAACACACAGTGTTGGCGCGGCAGCATCCGGCGGGCCAATATTTTTCGGCGACCCTTCTACCGGTTACACAACGGCCTACATCTTCCGAATCCCCGACGTCCATGCCCGAGGCCACAAGCGCGTGTACGCTTTCCTAGCCCTGAGCACCCACCGCGAGCGCCTCGCCATGAAGACCTTTGGTTTTGTCGCCGCTGCCTTCCGCGACATGGCAGCCTGGATCCAGACACTAGCCGAGCAAGAAGCCGAAATGTCCCTCCAGGAGTCATCAGCAAATAGCCCCGTCACGCCCGGAGGCGGAGGATGCCCTGGTTACGGAAGCATGCACTCGGAACCAGCCGCGCCCGCCAGCCACATTCCCACGGCCAGCGGACCGGGCGGCGGTAGCAGCTTCCTCATGGGCGGTGGCGGTCTGTCCCGGAGAATGGGCAGCAGCTTTTCTGCCTCCGGAGTCGCGCTAAAGCAGCGAGGCTTGGCGGAGCTGGTTGGGCTTCCGGACTTCTTTATTGAGCTCCATGCTAGGTTCGTGAAGCTTTTGTTAGAGCTGCGGGTTGTTCTGGGGTCTTAAGTGAGCCTCACCCAGCAAGACGCTTCAGTTATGGACAACGAATTACGCCCCACCAGACCTACTTGGACAAACAATGGTTGGCACGCTCCATGTACATATATCCATCCATTCATCCATCCATTCCTACGGAACTGCCTCGATTGTCACAAACCCCAAACCCAACACCAAACTATACCACCACCAGTACAACTACTACTACTATAACCGAAAAAAAACGGTTGTGTGTGTACCAACAATAGCTTGACTTCAACGTCAATGGAGACAAAACTCCAACACTCCCACCAGCGAAACTGCACTTCGATGACAAACAACAGCAGCAGCAACAGCAGCAGTCTCAAGTATTGTGTTATGTGGGAGATCATAAGTAATGGGTAATGAATTAATGACCTGATAGAAGGCGCGCGAAGGGTTGAGCACGCGTGGGCATGCCGGGGTGTACGAGGAAGAAGGGGAGAGAGAGGAGAGGAGAAGGGGAAGGGGACGATAGTACCTCCCTATGTGTGGAAAGCAGGAAACAGGAAATCAGGAAAGAGCGAAGCTGCCTCGCTTCAAGCCTAACATTTCATGTTCCTTTTTGGCTGTCGGGATTCAACAACATAGACGGACGGATGGATCATTATATCACCGGGTCGGTCGGAAAGAGGGAGAAAAAAAGGGAGAAATAAGGCAAAAGCGGGAAGAAGAAAGAGGGCAAAGCGAAGCGAACGGATTCGGAGAGATAGATGGGATGGGATGGATGGGTTGATGGATGTGAAAGTGGTTTACCTTTTTTTTATCCCTTGGTACTTGTCGTCCTCTTCATCATTCATCAGTATCACCCACCACCACCACCATAGCCACCGCCTTATTTCCTTCCTTCTCTTTCTTTCCTTTCCCTTTCCCCCCCCTTTTTTTTCCCCTCTTTGAAGAGACGTTTTCCATGCAACCTGCTTGCCCTGTTGAGCATGTATTATTTTTTTGTCGTTGTATCAAGTGTATTGAGTAGAATAGCAAGCAGTATTGTGTGTGTGTACGACTACAAACAAGTACGAACGAACGTGGGTGGAGGATATACTCATATACCCACATACCCCCCAACAACAACATCATAGATTATTTGATATTTGGATATTTTGTTCACTTTTCTTATTTCAACTTTCAACTTCTTAGCGAATACCGAAGTTCCTTCCCTGCTGCGCTGGTGACAAAAAAGTGACAAAAGTGAGTGACGTTACATTCCAAGTCTAGTAGTAATCACCTTTACGTCTGTTTTCGTCCTTATGTCAATAAGCTAAGCTGGTTGATTCTATTTTATGCCGTGGCCGTTAAGGTACGCAGCATCTCCCAATGTACCTATCTACGCAAGAGCAAGAGCAAGAAAGATGCTTGCAATTTTGAATGCTAAGTCTTATAGGATCAGGTCAGCCTGGGATACAAATTTGAAGAAACCCGCCCGTCACTCCGTATTGGTTCGACTACTAATAGTATGAGCAATTGGTACTTACTCGTTGACGATTATGTTCAACGACGACGACAGAAGAAGGCAATGAAAGACCAACCAACGCGCTTGAACAGGGTAGATATTTAATCGGGCGTTAGGTAGGTAGGGCATCTCGTCGCCTCTGGTTTCAGTAACTACTGCATATTTAGTGGAAGCATTCAACTCCAGACAGGCACGCACGCACGTGTATATACGGTGGTGCCGTTCGAGGATATATCCGCTAGAATGGTGTACAAATTTGCTTCGCTTCTATGAACGTATTTTTCGTCCGCTGAACTGGGGGCACAAATTCTATTTTCCCAAAAAAGCGAGCGGCAAGCATAGCACCATCCACCCACTCCATAGCAGCCTCTCCACTTGTTGTCCCTGCTCCGATGCCTGACAGACAACCAGCCTACCACTAAGCCCATGCCACCGATAGTTTACTTGTAGAAATCGAACTTGTTCTCGTCACTCGAGCTCTTCACCTGGCTGCTATAGGCATCCTCCAGATCGGCCTGGATGATGTTGTACCTGTTCTTCCGTACCGCACGTAGACCAGCCTCCTGCATAATCGCAGCGATGACGGCACCGCTGAGGGGATCGTTGCGGGTGATCAAGCTGTCGAGATCGACCTCGGGGGCCAAGCTCATCTTGCTAGCAATGGTGGTGAAGATAAGACGGCGCTCGCGGCGATCGCGCAGGTTGGGGAACTCGATCTTGCGATCGAGACGACCGGGACGCAGCAGGGCGGGATCAAGGGTATCGGCGCGGTTGGTGGCCATGATGACCTTGACGTTGGCGGTCTGGTCGAAACCGTCCATCTGGTTAAGCAACTCGAGGAGAATACGCTGCACCTCACGATCGGCACCGGTCTGGGCGTCGAAACGCTTCGTAGCAATAGCATCGATTTCGTCGATGAAGATAATAGCGGGCGCGTTCTCGCGAGCCATGCGGAAGACGTCGCGCACCATGCGAGGACCCTCACCGAGGTACTTTTGTACGAACTCGGAACCGACGACGCGGATGAAGTTTGCTGTCGTCGAGTTTGCGACCGCCTTGACCAACATCGTCTTGCCGGTACCGGGAGGACCGTAGAGAAGGACACCGCGCGGGGGGTCGATACCTATCTGTTTGTAAAGGTCGAAGTGTGTTAGGGGAAGTTCGACGGCTTCCCTGATTTCCTGCTTCTGCATATCCAAGCCTCCAACATCGGCATATGTAACGTCGGGCTTCTCGTCGACACCGAGCATGGCAATGGAGGAGTCAGCCTCGGGAGGCAAAATATCGACGACGGCATTAGAATGGCGGTGGAGGGCTACGGAGGAAGACGGCTTCAGGAGCTCGCGGTCGAGAGTCGAGAGGATGCGTACGACGTAGTTGGAACCGGTACTGGACTGAACGATACCCGTGCTGAGGAAGGGTTAGTCCCGGGCATTCTCGAAGAAGAAGAAGGGGGGCATCGGGCGGACATACTTCTGATCGATAGCTTCCATAAACTGCCCAATCACCAAGGGAACACTCTGAATCCTCTTGATTTCCTCCTGGGCGCGAACAAGCTCGCGCTTCAAGCTCCTGCAGAAAACCATGATGTCAGCCCCTCCTCACCAAGCTCTCGCTCTCAGCCGTTCAGAGCTTCTGTGGCTATACCTCTGCTCATCCTTGATGTATTCCTCCTGCAGTTTGATGTACTCCAGCTGCCTCTGAAGCTTCTTTAGAGTGATGTAGTCATCACCGCCTTCCGTCGCCACACCCTCGAAGGTCTCGATGTTGGGAATCGCCGAAGGGACGGGTTTCTTTTGCGGCTGGGTCAGACCGGCCGGGGTCTCGACAAGGACGTCGCCCATCTTGCCGGATATGTTCTTGCGATGGTATTAAATTGGTTGATCGATATGCTCCCGTGTGTTATGTCGCGAGCGCGTAGTTGCGCAGTTGTGATTATCGTGGGGTTTGGGGATTCGGTTGGGTGGTGTTCCTTGTTGTTCTGTTGTCGTCGTTGAGTTCGCCTTGTGGCGCGCGTGGTTGTCCGGTGCTAGCAGTCGCTGATGCAGTGGTCGCTGTTGCTAACAGCAAGCTGGGCTGGCTGTGGCTCGTCATTCATCTGGAGCCTGGGTTGCCGGGGGCTGTGTCGAATGCGCAGTGATTGGCTGTATGGCACCTTTCTGGCAGTTGTAGTGGGCTACAGTGAACAGCGTACGGTGTTTTGCTCCTACAAATAACTAATAAGATCACGGTAATCACTGGCTTTTAGCTCTGCCTTTCTTGTAGACAGAAGTCGAGCTGCAAGTGGGGCTGTTAGACAGTGTCAAGGGATGAGTGGTGGACAGTGCCAGACTGGACTGAAGCGGAGCCTTACTGTGGCTCCATCCCCAATGCAAGTCTGCCTCCACTTAGGTGCCACCATCGCAGTTGAGCGACCCCAGCCTTCAACCCCACATCCACACGGGTACCCTTGCTGGGCGTCACGAAGTGTCACCTTGACGGCCAGCCCGGGTTGTCATCGTCGTCGTCGTCCTCCCACATAGCTCGGTGTCGTCTTTGACCATAGTCCTAGAAACAATGGCCGTTCATTGTTGATATATGTCTTGCATTCTATCGCAATGCCCGACGTGGTGTAAATACCTCAAGGTTGTGGGATATGACAGAGTTCGGAAGGCAGTTGCGATTGAGTGGTCCTGCGGAGTTGTCGCAGTCGCAGTCGCAGCATCACTTCTCTTTACGGCCTGGCTCTTTGGCGTATAAGTCGACCTTGTTCTTTCTCTTCATCAACCAAGCAACGACTGGATATGATAGGTCCCATATCAGATAACGAATCAAGCTGTCATTCCGAAGACGGCCGATACAACAAGTTCTCCACTGCTTGGATCGAATGATGCGGCGATGATATGCTGTTGTGGTCACCATGCCACCCTGCATCCCGTGTTAACTAACACATCCTTGCCAGGCCCGGGCCCGTCTGAACGCTCCATGGCCATTGAAGACGGTACTGGAGGAGGGATTGCGAGGCCGCGGATACATACCTATGATGTGAGAAGAGAAAGAGTTGGGGTTTGGACAGTGATAGTTCAGAATTGATACACGCATCTTGCCTAGAGGGTGTATCGCCGGTGCCTGTGTGAGGACTGTCGGGCTGGTGTTGGACATGATGATGTTAAACCGTGGAGTCTTGAGTCCAAAAGGCTTCCGTCATCCGGCGTGCCTCGGTGTGTGAAGCTACGATAACAACCAAGATCCAAGCACGGAGGTAAAGAGGTACGAGATAGATCCAGGGTAGTGCATTATGATTGCAAGTCCATACTCCGGTCCCTTACCTTACGCAGGAGAGAGTCCCCTTCCAGCTTCCAGCTTCCGGTTCAATTCCGTGCGCCCATGGATGCCCATGGATGGTGAATTTGGGGGAACCGGGGGGACGGACCAGGAAACGGCCAACAACCCCATCCCCATCCTCAGAGTCACCACTTTCGGGTCGCCTTATTAGTCACTGTACACCTCCGCCTCCTCCGACCTGCCGTCACCTCCTGCTTTCCTTTCTTTGTTTGCTTGAACTTCATCTTCATTCACCTGATCCCTTCAATCCAACTCTCTTCACCTTGTCCGCATAAGCGCCTGTCGTCATCTTTTCGTTCCGTTCTTCAGTGTCCTCGAATTACACCGTCTTGAATTGATGATTCCACTATCCCGGTGCACCTGCGCCTTCAGCACTTTGGTTGGCGACAACGACATCCATTCATAGGCTTCCTTACCAATTACCATACGTTACCTGAAGTCGCTTCTCCCCGCCAGCTGCCACTCGTCAGGCTCGCTTTGTGTGACTGTCGACCAAACACCACCCAACTCCAACCGTTTTAAATCCTCCAAATCGCCCAAGTCATCATCTCTTGTGTCGGCTCATCTTCCTCCGTCAACCTCCCGCCATGTCCTCTTCAATCCC